ATGTGCCATCTCGTTCCGGTTCCTGGCTCAATCACCGCGGCCGATACCGCGGTGCACTTTGTCGACGCTGTCTTCCGACACCACGGTCTTCCTGAATCAATCGTCTCTGACCGCGATCCCCGATTCACATCGGCGTTTTGGACGAAACTCTTCGACCTCCTGGGCACCAAACCCCTCATGTCGACGGCGGCGCACCCGGAGACTGATGGGCAAAGTGAGCGCGTCAACCGCGTGCTAGAAGATGTTCTGCGCAGTTACGCCCCGTCCTTCGAGAACTGGAGTTCCTTCCTGCCTCTTGCGGAGTTTGCACTCAGCAATGCCGAACACGCGTCGACGGGATTGACTCCGTTCTTCTTCAACAACGCGCGTTATCCACGTGTCCCCGCACAACTTGCTGTGGGCCAACCCACGGCGTCTGATGGCTTCACTCTGGAGGGGAGGAATGCGATAACCCTGCCCAACCGGTTCCGGTACTGGTCCAACCACCGGTTTCCGGTGAGACAACGGTTCTGCCGTCTACGAGTTCAGCTTCTCCTGCAGTAGACATCAACGCGGTGACGCGTTTACAGTCGAAGAAGATCCTCGCACCCGCGCAATCCACGTCGTCGCCGTTAGGTGACCGGATACACCGAACGCTGATCACTCCAGCACAGCCACACACGACTGTGGCTAACTACGCGCTGAAACCTCCAGCGCGACCCGCTGACAAGGCAGCGGTAACCGACTTTGTCCTTCATTGCCAATCGATTACTCGATTCGTCCGTGACGCGCTACAACTCGCGGTTGACAAGCAGAAGGAAAAGGCTGACAAACGTGGCCGCAAGAACACAAGTTAATTCAAGATTGGTGAGCGTGTATTACTCTTAACGGATGGAATTCGTACCTCTGCTATTACGAACCTAGGCGCGAGCAAACTCGCGCCGCGCTACATTGGGTCATTCAAAGTACTACGAGTTATGGGTGATGCCTACATGCTAGACGTTCCTACGTCGCTACGACTACATCCGACGTTCTACGTCGGGCGACTTAAGAAGTATCTTCCCGCGATGATCCCGGAAGCGGAACAGGAGCATGCCTTAAGCGGCCCTCGCGACGAGCCTGTCGAGCCAGCGTCCTATCTGTCCCTGTTCCCCGCTCGCGCGGAAGAGCTCCACCCCTCGGTCCGCCAAACACCTGCGCCTCCAGACTACGCAGTCGCTGCAAGAGCTCACGATTCGACTGCCGCAGACTACTCGCCGTCGCCTTGGCGTTCCGAGAGCTCTCAGCCGCCCGCTCGGCCTCCTCCTGTGCGTCCCGAGAAGTGTGTAGCGCCTTCTCAACGTCGGCCTGGTCAACTAGGTCGCGTCAAATTCCACCGTGACGGTCCTCCGCCCATCGTTGACTCGAATGGAGACACGTGCTGGATCGTGGACCGTATTGTTGATCACGAAGATCCTCCCCGCGCGCGTCACTCGACCAAGTCGTCGGTTCAACACGCGGCTCCCGCCGCGCGGAAGTGTAAGGTACGATGGATAGGGTTTCAACCTGCTTTCACGACTACGATTTCAGCCTTGAGTCAAACGCGGCCGCGAGCGACCTCGCGGCGATCGAGAACGCGATCGACTACGCGCCCGACGACGCGTCGAATGCGCCGGAGACGGGCTCCGCCGCGAATAGCCGCCTGGGTGAACTCGGAGAGTGAGAGCTTATACGTCTCGATCCAAGCGTGTTCGGTCGGCATGAGCGGATACTCTACAATATGCTGATCCCACTCAACTTGCGTCGGGCGTCGCCCGATGTCACACGAACTGCAACTTTCGCGTACGTTGACATAGCACAAACGGTCTTCGGTCCAAGCGTCGTCGCAGCCTTTCAGGCGCAGATCACCGAGTGAATGCTCGGCTTGTAGGGCTTCACGATTACCGAGCCAGCCGACGATACTTTCTCCAGCCTCTTGCATCCGATTCCACCGCCGGATGAATGCACACCATGATCTCTGCAAAGCTTCGTACGACGCGCCGTCGAGTGTTTTGTTCCGGAGACGCCTAAAGCGCCGAAAGTGGTCCTGCATGGTGTCCAGCGCGTTCGGGGTCACCGCCCCGGACAAGTCGTACAGCGCCCACGGTTTCATATCCTCGTTCGTTACGCCGGGCCGAACCCCAAGTCGCCTCACGCTCTCAGGTGCGATATGAGCGGTCCACCCACTGTTCAGCGTCGTCGCCGACGCTGGAGCCGTCCGCGTTGTTCCGCTTCCTGTCTGGTTCGCCGCCCACGTTTGCTGCGCCATGTTGTTCTCATCCGCGCAAGTTGTATTGTGCTGCTCCTGGGCTTCGCAGGAGCTTCCGCTGGTCAAGTTCACAAGCGTTCTCTTCTCCGCCATCTCCCAGTTTTTCCTGATTGCTCTCCGAAGTGCACCCACGTTAGGTGATTGCTGTCTTTAGAGGGGGGGGTGATGTAATGGTCACTCCCAAGCTACATATGTAGGTAGTTTTAAAGGTTCTTTGTAGTGGTTCACACCATTACATAAGTAGGTAGATTTGCACTACAAAAGTAGGTGCAGCAGCACACGAGTAGCGTGTACACACGCTACTCGTGTGCTGAACTGCCGCCAACCTATTGGTTGAAATATGGGGAGCCAGACCCATAATCAACCAATAAGGAGTTGACGTGTATTTGAGTGGTCAGGGCAAGCCGCCCTGGACCTAAATAAAAACAGAGTTGATTTTCCTTCAGACTAAGTACTTGGTTTCAGTATCACTGGCCTTGAACGCTTCCTCATCACTACGTGTAAGAAAGTAGCGGACACCCCAGGCCCGTTACATCGTTGATAAGGTTGCAAAACTCTGTAGCCATTGTGGACCGTAAATCGCTCGTCCGGGTAGCCAGATCGCGCAGCCAAATTGAAGCAGCCCCGTTAGCGACAAAATGCTGCCGCATTTCAGTAAAACTTGAACGGCAACTTGATTTGGTAGTTTTACGACAATTTCGGACTTAATACTCTTGATTTTTTATGAGGGGTGGCGACATCATCTCTTAGCTCTTTCACTTGCTTTGCTACCGCGAGATGTGCGGGAATTCCGGTCGCCTTTAGGCCGCACACCGGTGACGTCCCAATTGCAAGAATCGTCACACCACGCTGGTCGTCGAGAAGCGGAAATACTCTTGCTTTAAATATTGGATGTGACGACGATAGCGTGACTCGGAGATAGCGTTCGTGGTGGATGAGTGACGCTATCGAAAATGGAAAGCCGACTGTAAACCGCGTGGATAGTTACTGTAGCCACTCACAATTTCATTTCGGTAATCTATCGTCATTATTAACATCATTTCGGGAGGAAAATGTAGAGGCAATACCCCAAAGCACTCTGAATCGAATAGCAGTCCTGTTATCATGCTTCCACATAGTTGATCAGCTCCCTCTCCAAAATGAATGTATCTGTCTTTCAGCTTTCCCAGGCTTTGGCCCATACGCAAGTAGACCGAGACGGGGTTGGCCCACTTACTTGCCCAAGCGCATACTGCACGAGCTACTGCCTTTGCGCAGACTGTGGGTGCCGATGTCCTCCGGTATACAGCCCAGTACACAAAATTCTTCCATGCTTAAAGACTTGATTACACGACGTTACAAGCCGCCAAAGTGATCCTTTGAGTCACTTCCCAGGAAAAGCTGTTGTTTGCCTCCCTTACCGCGTTCAGGGCAGCAAAATAGTAGCACAGCGAGCGCGAGAACAGGGCATTGCGATGGGGTGTAGGGGTTGGAGTATACATGCTTGCCAAACTTTTCTGCTCCAGTCTGATCTCCCTTATGACCTTGCTCCTCGACAATTAAGCAATCCTCAGACCACTCTATATGTTGGAGCATGATTGTATTAATCGAATCCGCCCGGCTCATTAAATTCCACATGAGAACAAAAAAATCCAGCCAAATAACACCGTCGACCAGGCTTGACCTTTTTTTACAGGCTCAAGTTTTATTAGTTTTAGAGCCAGGAGTTCAAATCCGGAATCTTTTAGTTGACGTTTCCCTTCATTGATTTTCATCAGACCCCGATTCTTTCGATCATTTATGACCTTCTCGTAACCCTCGAGAGCCCGGCGGAGCTCTGTGTCAATTAGGGGGTCCAACACAATAAGTTGTGCGCGATAGACGTCCACAAGAGCACTGCGATAGCCCCAAATACACGACGCCGAAAGGGAAAGACTTTATGCATCTTGTGCACCCACGTTATCGCGGCCACACATGTGAGCAGGACTACAGATATGCCCAAACAAAACGAGAATAGCTTCTTTAGAGAGCGGAATGAGCATCTTCTTCGTGGTACTGTCGATTGTCTGCGGGAAGTGCAAGGCCAGTCATGCCGTCATGGCGTTCCCCTTCGACTGATATGTAGGTTTGGTGCTTATCTTCGTCCTCTTTGACTGGAGCCACTGAGCCACTGAAGCTGAGTACTCAGCGTCTCGCTTTTGCCTGCGCGACATTTTGCTCTTTTAATTGTGAAAGGTCGCAATAATGTGTGATGACGTCGTTATCACAAATGCCGTTAATCTGGCATATTAAGCTCGCACCATCGTGAAATCATATATATTTCATTAGGTTCGCAGACGATTTCGGCCAACTCCTATCACACGTCAGTGGCAAAATAAAGTAATTTATCACAAATGCAGCAGATGTACTGATCTCGGGGCTCTCTCAATTCACTAAATCTTCTTGTGTAAGCTCGCTTGTTTTGATTAAAAAAAAATCCAACAAACACGTTTGGTCAGCCAATAGTGTGTCGCGGTATTCCTCCTTGATCGGGGTCGTGTATCTTGCAGACCGACCGTAGGAACTTTTAACGTAATAAACGTAAAACAAATGTATTGCTTGTCTTCTCAGTTACTTGTGAGGTAAAGAGGAAAAACACGACTGAGCTGCTCTCCTCGACGTCCACGAGAGAGAGCAGCTCCCTACCGCTCTACAGATCCTTTTACGTGGAGGCTCACTGCAGGTCTTGAGATCAGCCATCGACAGGTGTTCCTTTTTATGCCGGGAACGCCGACGTCGGAGGTGAATGACCCAGTTGGTTAGACGTGGTGCGCTTCACCTGAAACGCGTTGAGCTTCTGAATGCATTCGGCGAGAAGGTCGAGTCCCTCATCCAGCCGTATACCGTGACAATTCTCCCCGACTTCGACTCGGTGCCCTCGCCGAGCAGATTCGCCCGAGCCAGGCTGCACGGTACCGGCCGGATGACGAATGGGAACGCCTCCCGTGAGCGTTCCACTGGAGGCGACATTCGAAGACGAAGGGACAGAGAAATCCTTGTCAACGGGAGCGCCACCTTCCAGGGCTTCGTCCCTCGAATTCACTCCGCTGTCACACACTCCCCGTAATCGCACGACACTGGCACGTTCTCTCTCTTCTCGGCGCGCCATCCGCCGGGCCAGACCATCCCAATCGCGCTTAACATCTTGACTAGTTACTTCACTCGATCGAGACTTGCTATACAGGCGTCGAGCATGGCTGTAGGCGCCGATAGAGACAACAGCAGCGTTCCAAAAGACACATTCACTCAGAAAATCCCAGTAGATATCCATTAGTAGCACCAGCAAAGCGACACCCATTCATCCACACAACACGCCTTCGACACCTTCATACGCCAGCCGAGGCATGTAAATTACTGCGGCCAGTAGCAGCGACACCAACAGGTAAAAACCAATCACAAAATCACTCGCACGCTCCAAACCCGCGATCGTGGCTTCATAAATGGCCCGTAAATATCGAAACTTAGCGTTCCAGTTTACTTTCAGGGCGTCGGGAATAAATACGCAGCAAGTGTGATAGAGTGCCTCGTTCTATTTCAGCACTAGGCGTCCCACGATGCCGAACCGAGCTTTATAGTCCCGTAGGACCGCGATAGGTATCAGGAACGAGAGTTTCACCAGTGCCCAAACATACGCACGCGGAGGTAGCACCAGGGCTTCTTCACCCCGGACCGTCTTCAAGTACCGGTCACCGCACGTGTAGACAAAGAAATACGCAGACGAACACGCCTCCAGCATACTATCCGCAAAAGCCCACGCGACTCGGCGTAGTGGCGTAGTCACAACCCAGCCAACTACTCCTAGCACGGCACCTCTCAATAGCGTTACCTCGCTGTCGTTGCCGGCAGCCAGTGCCCAACCCGTTAGCGTGCCCCACGGCGACCAGCTCGCCGTCATCTTGCAAATCTTCGAATGAAAGAACCGTTGGGACCTCGTACGTTCGACCCGTTAGAGAGACGTCCTAGATGGCGTCAGATTCTTCCGAGTCGGAAACTGTCGAGCGTACCCCATCAGCGCCCGTTCCCAGGAAACGTCTCACGCACGTGTCCTTTACCAGCCACTAATGTCGGGGTCCGTGAAACCTTTCAGTTTCCGTTTCCCCTCGTATCCAGCACAACGCCGATTTCGTCCCGCCTTACTGCAAAGGAGAAGGCGCACATGCGTGTCTTCCTGGAGGAAGCTTTCGACAGAGACGAACACGGCACGCCCGGAGAGGACACCAAGACGCTGAAGCAACAGTTCTGGGCCGAGATGCGATCTCACCTGGGCGGCAACGGCCTTTCAACTGGCCTCCTGTCGTTGGACCAGCTTGCAGAGGACGTCATAGACGGCAAGGCGGGAGCGTCACTGTCGGGCACTGTCGTCGTAGTACCAACACCGACTGGAACCAGCGTTCCGGTCACAGCGCCTGCCGTGTCTTCGGCGGCGTCGACCGCGAAACCCTCGTCGGGCAAGAAGTCAGCCTCTTCCTCCAAGAAGCCGCCCACGAAGTCATCGGAAAAGTCATCTGCGAAGAAGCCGTCCAAGAAGTCGTCGGCAAAATCGTCGAAGCGAAAGGCCAGCAGCGACTCTTCTGAAGTCAAGCCGCCTCCAAAGAAGCAGCGCTCCTCTGACAAGGGCAAGAAGGCGTTCCCGTTACCGTCGTCCGAGTACGGAAAGCTAATGGAAGCAAACGCCGAAGCTCCGATGGTCGTGCTCAAGGCGATCGCAGCAGTTCTCGTCAAAGCGGAGGCGGCCGGGAAGAAGCCGTGGTGCTTGGCGTTCCCCTGGACAGGTCGTCCGTTCTGGTACGACCCACGCGAGTTCCGGCACGTCTATCGCGCACACTGGCGGTTTTGGATGGCCCACCGTCGCGCCTTCTGGGGGTGGGCGTTCCACGCGCTCCTCGAGTCCGGACAACCCGTGAATCTTCGTCGCAAGTGGAAATATCGCGCCGTTCGGGCCCGTCTCGCCTTCACAAGCTTCTGTATCGAGACTTGGGGGTTTTACGCCTTTCTCGAGAAGTTGAAGCAACAGTTCGAGATGTTTTGGCTGGGCGGGCAGCCTGGGCATTCCAACCGCGAAGGCTCTACCTACGTGGGGCACCGCGCCCAAAGTTTGACGTACTTGGAGAGTCACGACCACGCCAGGTACCAAGCCACGGTGGAGAACGCTCTGGACCCAGCCAAGATTGACGCGTATGGCTACGACAATCTGCGTTCCATCTTGGAGACGACAGACGCGTTGAACCCGACAGCGGACGAGCCAAACCGGCTTTCGCTCAAAGCTCTGGTGCGCGTTCGCCGGGACCTGATGTCCAATATGAAGCCGAAAGCGTCGTGGTCGGGCGCCAGGACTGAGGAACCTTGGAAGTCGTTGGTCATCAACTTGGAGATCAAGAAGCTCCAGGACAAGCTGACGCCTAAAATCGCGGAAGGCTCTTACGAGCTCCCTACGACTCGACTCCCGTCCAGCAAGGAACGCAGCCGCGAAGATTGGTCTGACTTCGAAGAGGAGCCGGACGAAGAGGAGGAGAAGGCGGCCGTTCCCGGAGATGACGAAGAAGAAGTCCAGGCCGCAGAAGAAGAAGATGAAGCCGCCGACAGTGGAGGAGACGACGGTGAAGCTGAAGCAGAGGACGAAGAGGAGGAAGGCTCCGATGAAGAAGACGAAGCCGACGACAAGTCCGCCCACAAGTAGTTTTGGCGTTCCAAAACGCATAATCGTTCCACTCGTAGCTAACACTTAATTTCAGCGTTCCATTTCTCATCCTTTCCATTCGTTTTCCATCGGACGTTCTCTCGTCTGCACGCATTGCCTCTCTTCCCACGCCCACTCTCACTAACATATTGCCGCTTGTAAGCCTTCGGCCTCCTCCAAAGGCTAAACTAACTCGTAGCACTCCTCGTTAACGTCCACGGTGACAGTCCCAGCCTACGCCATCCACATTCGAAGAGAGTCGTCGCCCTCCAAAACCACCGTTCCAAAATCGCTGCCTCCATAGTCGAACCAGGTAGAGTAACTCTTGGCCAGCGTTCCAAAATACAAAAATACAAATACACCACACCCAGCGTCAGAAGGTAAGCTTCAAACGCCCAGAGGCGCGACTTGTCAGTCGCACCTCTCTCTCTAACTGGGGGACCAGTTAGAACAGGATTTCTGCGTCGTCGACGTCGGCATTAGCCTCGATCAACCTGGCGCTCTTTCTTAACTCCGGCAGACCATTCCGTCGACGATTGGCTTCCTCAAACGCGCTTATCAGCGTGCCAAAATCGGGCGCTAACGCGGCCCGCGACAGCCAGAAGGTCTCGTACGTGGCGGTACGCACCAAATACTGCAGTTCATTCTTCTCGACTCTCTTCGCAACTATATCTACAATCGGAGAAGAGACCCCGGTGAACGCGGTCTCTTCCCCGCCGATAGATAAGCGTTCCACAAAGCTTGTAGCCGGTAGATCCTCCAGCTGCAAAGGTACATCCTCGTCGCCGGCGTTCCCTTCTAACGTTTCCGGCACATCATCTGCGAACGGCCGACTCCACCGACCACGAAAGCGCTTCAGGCGATTCACGTTCACAGTGACGACTTTGCTGGGGTGGGAGGGAATTGCAACCTTGTAGGCGTTCTTCCCGACTTGGCCGACAATACGGTACGGACCGTGCCAAGAGAGCGCCAACTTCTTCGACTTGCGTTCCCCTACTCGAGCTCTGAAAAAACTGATACACCCAAACGGCCTCACCTTCCTCATACGTTACCTTCACTTGGGTTTCTAGTCGCTTCTCGTGTCGGTCCTGTGCCTTGAGCAGCTGACGTTCCACGAGTCGTCGAGAGTCACGCATCGAACTGTACAATGTACGCCTGTAAACAGCGACTTCATTGCTCTTCCAGTCTTTGCCCGTGTTTAGGAACGCTAGGTCGGTCGGCAAGACAGGGTCTCTGTCGTACAAACTAAAGAACGGGGTGTCGCCTAGACCTTCGTGATAGGCCGTCCGGTATGCAAACAAGACTCTGGGCAAGTACACGTCCCAGTCAGTCTGCGTCTCGTTCACGAACATGCGCAACATGCCCATCAGCGTTTCATTGAAGCGTTCCACCAGGCCTTGGGTCTGTGGGTGGTACGCGGCGCCAAACCACTTTTTAATGCCCAAGGTATCATACAGCGACTTAGCCAGATTCGACGTAAAGTTTGAACCTCGATCACTTAGGAGTCGCCCCGGCACTCCATGACGACAGATCACCCCCTCAATCATCGCATTCACAAACGAGATCGTGTCCAGAGATTCGACCGCGAACGCCTCGGCCCACCGCGTAAAATAATCCACGAAAACCAAAATATACTTGTTTCTCCTAGGTGTGACCACTAGAGGGCCGATAGCATCCACAACCAGCAACGAGAACGGTCCGGACAGGTCCTGAATCGGCATTCGTTGCATGAGTCCCGCTCTTCAGGGCCTACGGACCTTTCCACCACTACATATCGAGCACTCTCGCACGTACTCGGCTACGTCTTTTCGCCAGCCGTGCCAGTACGCATGTCTTCGGACTTTGTCAGCGGTCTTCGTCTTGCCAAGGTGAGCGGAGAAGATGTCGGCGTGGCAGTAGTGTAAGACAGTCTCTATGAAGGGGAGCGGAACGGCAGGAGCGCTAATAGTCCTAGCGGGACCAGCGCGCGCTCCCAGGTGGACCAGACGCATCAGGACGCCATTACGAATCAGGTAGTGCGGAGACATCTTCAACACTGTCACTCGAAGTTGTGGGTCGATAGCTAACGCTCCGTCCTTCAGGAACGCTCTCAGTGCTCGCATCCATGGCACGCGCTCCTGCTCTTCCACAAACTTGTCGTAATCCAGACCAAAAACGTCGATGGGCGAGGGATTTGTAAGCGGGGCTCCCTCCTGCAAGTCTTCTTCTTGCTCCACTTGCGTTAGAGGTTCCGGCACCACCGCAGGTTCAGCAACCGAGTCATCTTCGGGAGCAGCCGTTCCAGTCTGCTCCCCGACTTGGACTAGACCGTCGCCCGTGTTAGTCTCCAGCGTTCCAAGAGGAAATACCGTTCCGTCTTGAGCAGGAGGAGTGTCGTCTCCGTCGTTCAGGAGATCAGTCATTCAAATGACACTTACCACCGAGGCTTCAGGTCGGTGATACAGCCTCGACAAACCATCAGCATGGCCCATAGACGTCCCGGGTTTATGATATACCTTGAACCTTAACTGTGATAACTCCATCGCCCACCGTGCCAACTTAGCGTTGGACGTTCGGGTTTCTTCTCCAAATATCCACGCTAGCGCTTGATGATCAGTGTACAAGTCAAATTCCGCATGATCCAGGTAGCAACGAAATTTACGCGTAGCCCACACTATGCCCCAGCACTCTATCTCCGTTGTGCCACTTGTCTTGTTAATCCAATTTCTCTGAGATCCCACCAACATCTTACTCGCAAAGGCGATAGCTCTGTCACGCCTATCGATCTCCTGCATGAGGCACGCTCCAACCGTTAAGTGAGAAGAGTCCACGTAGAGTTTGAACCTTTTCTTGAAGTCCGGATAGACGAGGATAGGGGGCTTCACCAGAGCGCGTTGCAGCTGACGGAACGCGACCTCGCAGTCGTCGTTCCGTCGGAACTATACCTCCTTCTGCTTTAAGCGTTTCAACGGAGCAGCGATCGCCGCGAAGCCGGGTATATAACGCCTAAAGTAGCTAGTCAAGCCGAGGAACGCTCGCACCGTATGCAAGTCGTGAGGTCTCTCTATGTTCATCACTGCTTTCGCTTTCTCCGGGTTGGGCAATATCCCAGTAGGGGTCACAATATGGCCTAGAAACGCCACCTGGTCCCGTCCCCAATGACACTTCTTCATCTTCAGTTTGAAGCCAGTTGCTTGAAAGCGTTCCAAAACCTGACGCACTCGAATCAGATGGGTCGG